GCCCCCCCCCGCCCCGGGGGCCGCCGGTGGCCCCGAACACCCGCAGCCGTCGGAGGGCGGCTCGGGGCGGCCCCGCGTGCCACAGGCTCCGGTGACGCCGCGGGGACCGGCGGGCAACGGGGTCAGGGTGTCGCGGAGACCTGAAGGGCTTCGTGGAGACCGTGAGGACTGGTCTTCGTGAGGACCTCAGTGCGGATACACGCGGGAGGCGCGGGAAGCCGCACTCGCTGCCGTGCGCCGGGAAGTCGCGGTGTTCCAGGAACCGGCGCTTTGGGACATGCACCAAACTCTGGGAGACTGGCAGTGAAATTGCGAGGCTAGGCAGGGTTGCAGCTCTTCTTAAAATAAAACCTAACTGCAGCCTGTGGGAGGCAGGGATATGAGTCGCTCAGCTTGCAGCCCCAGGCGTGGTGTGCAACCTGAGGGATGCATGAAAACGAGGATTCGTGAATGAAATGTGAGTGTGGATGTGTCCATTCCTGCTGCCCATGCCTCTTCATACAGCTCAGTAGCAGCGCCCCATTGCAGAGGATGAGGAGGGGTTCGTGAAGGCTAAACTCACCGCTGCAAATACAAAATAAAATCCCTCCACTGTGACAATCTACGTGTGTGCTTAGTTTCATCCAGGCTGGGATAAATCCTGGTCAATGACACTGGACATGGAGTTGCCGTCCAAGTGGCAGCCCATGCAGGGCTGGGAACCTGACACTGCGTGGAGGGAGGGAAAATAATCCTGTTTGGTGGGTTGGGAGTTTCTGTTGTTCAACATTAAAGGATCAGAGTCATTGGGACACTCAGGAGAAACATGCAGACCTGGAGGGACATCTTGGAGAACAAGGGGCAGCTGAGGCCGGGAGGATCTGTTTACCCGTGGTTAGCATTGTCCTTCCCATTGAAAGCTGATCACAGAATAATGGGATTTGTGATCCGGTTTCTTCCCTTGCGCGTGTGAGCTGACTGAAGGGACAGACGACCTCTGAGCATCAGCGGCTTTTAAGTTCGGTGAAAAGTAGTTGGGAGAGGAGACTGATGTTTCTGATATCAACTAAAATATACAGCTTTTCCAATTATTATCTAAAACAGCTGAAATTTCACATAGTTTCTTCTGTCCATCAGAAAGAGAAGAAACTTGTCGGTGATTTTGAAAGGAATCTTCCACAGTTTTATGACTGTACAGACAAACACTTGCTAATTTATACTTTGATCTTATTAGCACTGAAGGGGAAGCAGCAGGAGGGAGCAGCCTCCCACAGGCACCGCGGCGCGGGTCTGGTTGCCCACCTCACATCACCCATCACCACCGCAGGCATCCTCAGAAGATCCTGGTTTTCCCACTCCCGTCCCGCATGGAGGGAGCGTGAGGTCAGCGCGGAGCCTGTGCTCCGGCTCCTCCTGCTCCTGGAGCCTGATCCCGGGCAAGACAGGGCCTCGTGGTGCCTCTAACAGCCCTGCAGCCAGGGCAGTCGGGCCGGGGAGCCGCTCGTGGGCCGCGTCCTGTGCGAGGAGGTGACCTGACGGCACTCGAGCCCTGGTCATGGCAATGGTCATGGTCATGGTCATGGTCATGGTGCTTCCTGTGTCCTCACCAGCCACAGCTCTTCCCCCTGCTGCTCAGTCACCTGCCGGCCACTGCTCGCCTTTTATTGTTGTTGTTTTATATTCCCTTTACCTCAGGACAAAGCTTGACTTTTGAAATATGTCTGTGTAAGGCCCGTCTCTGTGACCAGTGCCTTGACTGAGGTCAGCTAACGAAAGGCAACGGTATCTTCAGCTTCACTCCAGGAGCCATGAGTTCTCCCTTTCCTGAAAAGACAATTTGCTGTGAATAAATCATGCAGCTTTGTGGATTTTTTTTTGATATTTACTCTGGAACGACGTGTTTTTAAATTAGTCTTCTGAGGGGTGCCATAAATAATGAGAGAGAACAGATGCCTTGTAAATGAAATGCCCTATTTTTTAAGCATTAGGTAATTAAGTATGCGCAAATGGTTTCCTCCTTGCAGAAATCTTCTGTGTTTTTCTAAGAAATAGCATCCTGCAAGCAAACCCAAAGGCCTACCCTAGGGCTCAAATCGAAAGGAATGCTTTGTGAGAGAATTTATTCAAAACGGTTTTCCTACTCAAAAAACATCTTGATAAAAAGAAAAAAAAAAAAAAAAAAAAGAGAGAGAAGGGAAGTGAAGGGAAACAGAGCGCCGGAGCCCAGACGCTCTACGTGACTCCTCTCAGGGCCTCATTAAAATGTTTCCTTGCGCTTGTTCCTCTTCCACACAAGCCTCTCCTTGCCCTGAGGAGACAGGTAGGGAGCGGGCGGTGACTCTCCACCCGGCCCTGCCGATGCCACCTTGCTGGAGCTGCTAACCTGGCAGCCTCGACCCTCAGTGGCTCCCTCGTTAGCTTGATTACCCTTTATTTGTTATTAATATTTTTAATGACTTAGTCATAGAAGCACATGTGAGAGGATATCCTGCTCCAGCTCAAAGCAGGTCGTGCTTTGAGCTGGATGTCTCAAAGCACGACCTGCTCTCGTGTCACTCTCCAATGAGGCTGACTGAGAGCCCAGCACGGGAGCCCAGGATCAGCATCCTGCAGATCGGTGCCTCCCGGTGTCAGCAAGGGCTGCACCTGATCCCGTGTCCGTAAAGCACCAGGAGATGGGACATTTGGCACCACAGCCTCATTGCCGCTTTCCCAAGTAGCTTTCAGGCTTTCAGGTTTAGAGAAGGCCACAGGATGAGGTGAGAACATGTTTTTCCCTTAGACTTTGAAGTTCCCAGGAGGAAAAGGAATCACTCTTCTTTTGTGAGAGGTGTCCACCCTTCTACCCCACCAGAGACCATGGCGTTGCTGGCTATATCCTCTCAGGATGTTGGTTCAGCGGAGTTGTAAAGCCTTTCATTAGAAAAGCAAACAGCAGGTGCTCGTGGGGAGGAGGAAAGGTAAACAGCCTTGGTCTAGTCAGCAGAGATAAATAAAAAATAAAATAAAAGAGTAGAGAGCAAGAGAAGAAAAACAGCGACTGATGAGCATGTATTTTTTCTCAGCCTGTGAAAATGACTGCAGCTTAGTTATTCATCTCTCACAGAGCCCTGAGTTCGGCCTGGTGAAACGCGTGGGGGATCCTGCGCGGGACGTTGGGAAGTTTCCTCAGCCCAACGTACAACGCGGCAGGCCATGAACCGCAGCCTGTGATAGCTGTTTTTGTTGACATGTTTTCTCCCCGTACTCTTTGCCCTCTCCTCTCTCCTCTATTGCCACAGCTACCAGGGATAAGCAAAATGCCTTTCTAGAAGTTATTTCCAACCCACTCGTGGCTCTCTCTATGAGACTCCAGGTACTTATCTTGAAACGTTCAAATTCCAGCCAGCAGTTACACAGGACTTCTTTTTTCTTTGTGTTGCTATGGAAAAGTCATGGAGACATCTATGGTTCATAATGTATCCAGAGAGAAATGCTTATATCGCGGATCCCAGCTTAGCATTAAAAACATGAAAAAAAAATATACAAGCATGAATGCTGCTGAGCTGACTGCCAGGAAATTGGGCTGATATGGGGAGACCTAGGGGAGTAAGAACAGAATCAGTAGTACAGAAAGGCCCTAGGATGCTGCTTGGAAAAGGCTCGCAACACCAAGGATGAATAATTGCAGCATTAAGACATTAAGCGCATAGATGGTTTTACCACATGGAAATTCCAAGCACTGCTACACCGATTTATTTTCTTCTGAATTAGAAGAATGTGCCCTAAATGGAAGAAGAGAACCCTGCAAATTGGTCCAAGTGGTCAGTGTGCCGCGACGGGAGGCGAAGCAGCCACGACGCCTCCCTCCGCACGCGTCTGCGCAGGCCGGACACGCGCCCGGCCTCGCTGCGACTCGCTCGGTGCCCGAGGCGCGCGGGTATCCGGCATGGAGCAAGGGCGCCTCGGAGCCTGCCCTGGGGTAGAACATGTGGCGGAGCATGCATCTGGGCCAGGTCATTTAGCTCCGGGAGGATGGCTGCAGGGCAGCCCCGGGAATCAGGCTTACGTCTGACAGGTCTGGTTGGATTCACACACAGCAGCCGAGTGTGTGACAGGCTCAA